TTCTGTTTCTTCTCATTTATAATTTTATCAACACGTCAATTTTTAGCTTCATTTCAACCAAAACTTATTACAATTTGGAGACGACATTTTCACTGAGCGGAGTCGCGTTGTTTAATTCCATCGTTATTGCCGTTGGTCTGGTGCTAATGTATAAAATCTTGCCAGAAACCGAAAATCGTTCGCTAGAGGACATCGAAATGCATTTCGCCGATAATTCGAAGAAATTCACCGACCGAAAAATTGCCATTTCAAAAAGGAATAATAAAGATGACTTATAAATTCTCCAAGTGAACATGAAAACAACACCATAATTAAGTCTGTACAAGAATTTTGACCGATTTTTTAAAAAAATTAATTAAATTAAAGAAACAATATCTCAAGCAAATGTATTAACTTTTTGTTTACAATTTAGAAGAACCAGAAGCACTATAAAATGCTTCTTTCTAGCTTAATCTTTAGATAATTTGGATACGTTGTATCAAAGTCACATATTTGCAGCATTAAATTTGATGTTTTGTCATTGAGATTTACGGTGCAACTTATGAAATTCGTCGGGAGAAACCACCAAATGAAATCATGTTTGTTTCATGAATAGATCCGATCACTTACCGTCCACCACATTCTCGGAAAGCAGAGTTTCCCCTTATTAATCAAAACAACCGAATTTATGCACGAAAAAAGGTAAAAAAGCAATAGATTTATTCATTTTAAAAGAGAAAGAAAGTCAGATGTCTTAAGCACAGCTAATTTCAAGCTGATAACAATTCGATTTGTCGTTATCGTCCCAATGAACGTGTTGAATGGTTTTTGGGCCGTGATTAACTTTTGTCAAACGAAATTTGTCGTTCAACTGAACAACGGAAAATACATTTTTCCAAATAACTTTGGTGGATTTCTGTGGATATTTCGGTGTGTCCTCTTTTGCAGTGTCCAAAAGATGATACTGAATATTTGTTGCGTTTACGAAACCCAATTCATTGCATATATGTTTAAGTTCCACTTTTGATGGAGGATTTGGATGCGCTTTCCATAAGCATTTTGTCTGCCATTCGCCAGCCGATCGTTCAATAACACGGTAATATCCGCTGAAAAAAGAGAGAACAAAAATCAAATGCCCTTCAATTTGATGCTACTTCACGCTTTGCTCACCTGTTTTCATATCCTTCTTCAACGCCATGACAAGATTGCTCGTCTTCGCCACTGGGACAGTCGGATTGTCCATCACAGACAAACTGAGGCGGAACACACATGCCGGAACTGTTTGGAGAGAGAAAATCAAAATAATTTTTTCTTCGTTTCAAAATCGAAATTAGTTGCAAACTTACTCTCCGCATCGGAAACTCTCTCGTCGACATGGGCAATTCAGGTTCTCATCCGACTTATCATGGCAGTCGGGAATTCCATTACAAATTTTCCGTGGATCTGTTAATCTATCAATGTACGAGTTGTCAATGAATGTCTTGAAAAAAAAATGGATTTGTCTTGTTGAACTCACTCGAAATATTGGAAACAAGTGCATCCCTTTGGTTCATCACTAAGATCTTTACAGTCTGCCACTCGATCGCAAAACTTTGTTTTGGACACGCAGGTGCCGTCGCCACATTGCAGTTCTTGTGGTGTACATTTCTTCTTTTTCCGGCACAATTCTTCGTGTTCATCGCTGCCGTCTACGCAGTCGGGCGTTTTGTCACAAACTCTTTCATTGCTAATGCATTCGCCCAATGGGCAACGGTGGCCTGAGCAGGCTGGCATCTCTTTTTTATACGAACACAATGGCCAATCTGAGAATCAATAGTTATTAACTTTGGTTGTATTTTAAGCCTTTTTTTTGAAATTTCCTTTGAAAGAGAAAGTATTCTTACTCAAAATCGATTCTATGCTTCGGTAACTATATTCCAGTGGCTGAATTTGTGTCAAATTATTAAAGGTGCATAAGCCGTCATCGTGTGAGAAAATTGAAATCGGATAATATGTGTTGTTTTGTTCTGATCGACAAACAACTAATCCGTATTTGGATGCATCTGAAATGGATTGAATTTGATTGAAATGAGTGTCTCTTCACAGCATGAAAAAAGTAATGAAGACACATACCAAATCCATCGCATTTTATATTTTCAATCAGTTCTTCGGTTTGGTAGCAATTGCTTTGTTCATCTGGACAATCGGTCTCATTTCGTACGATTGGAATACTGACAAAACCTCCAGTCGGCCCATGCGTAATGGCAGCACAATCCTCATCATTTTTATCGATGCTAAATTCAAAGAAAATGTCACGATAAAATATTGATTTTTTTTTCTCTCTCTCAACATTTTCAGGATGATAATTACCGTGGCGATAAAAACGTTGGCAACGTGTATCGATCAAATTTCGGTGAATTGGCTAAATGCAATAAAATTGCGGAAGTAGAATTGTGCAAGGCGCGAACACAATCGACACGAATTATCTGCTCGGTTAGCGTTAGAACGTTGGGTGGACTCTTCGAATGTCCTAAAATAACATTGATTACATGTTGGTCCAAACTATAATTGAAAAAAAAGAGAAAAAAAAGAGAAAAAAATGATGAAAGAAAATAAAAACGGCGAAAAATACAATTGTTTTGGACATTTTTCATTTCTTTTAGAAAATTTCACGGTTTTTCAAATAGAAATTCCATACTTGACCGAATCGATGACTGTTTTCTCGCTCAACACCCAATACCGATCCAGTAAAACGCCAATGCTTGATAAATCGCCATCAATGAAAATACTTGCAATCCATGGTGCACTGAAGTTGTCAACGATTATGTCCTCTTGTGTATCATTTGCCGGAATCGGAACAATAATATTTGGCACTTTTTCGGGTTGTATGACCGGTTCAATTGGTTTCGATTGTTGTGGTTCCGTTGGTTTCGGTGTTGTCACAGGTGTAATTGTTGATGTTGGTGGTGATGTTTTGTTATCACTTGGTAAGAGCTCGCCTGGGGTTGGATTTATAATTGGCATCACCATATGTGGAACACATTGGATCGATAACGCAAAGCATTCACGCGGTGCCCCAACAATAATATCGGACATGTTAAGATCATCATCGTCTTGTGACGCATGCAAAAATTTATTGATGTCTAAGCTTCTTTTGAACATGAATCGAGGCATTGAATGACGATCAAAAACTGTTTGCCTGAAAAAACCAACAATTTTCAAGAAATGCAACAAAAAATGAAATTTATTCCAAATAAATTTACCGCATAAAGTTAACTCGGTGATTGTGATCTCTCGGCTTTGGTTTAAAGTCACCGTCTTTATTGACCATGATGACATTGTGCGAAACATATCCGCTAAAACCTAGAAGTGTACACGTTTCGCCAGCCAATTCAGAGTTTTTCTGAGGTTCCATTCGTCGGACGCATCGCACCGACCATCTGCCATTCGCATTTTCACATAAAACTCCCTCATGTCTTAAGGCTGGTTTCAATTCGGCATCCATTAAGACCACTTTACCATCGGTCAAAGCAACTGGAAAGAAGAATAAAAAATGTAAAAATTCGAATATATTTGAAACATTCAAATGATCACTTACTGCATTCCTGCTCGTCTTCGCCAAATTTACAATCCTCGTGTCCGTCACACTGCTGATCTTTCGGAATGCACTGTTTTGATTTTCGACATTCGAATTCATCTTTCTTGCACAAAGAACAACCTTTTTCGTCGGAGAGATCCAAACAATCGACATGCTGGTTGCAAATCAAATGAGCATAATCATTCTGAAAATGAACGATTCGAATTGATTAATGATAAAATATAAACAATTTTCACTCATTTTTACTCCTCACTTTCAATATATCACGACAAGAACAGTTTTGTTCATCGGTGCCGTCTTCACAGTCATCGTTTCTATCGCATCGCATTGCAATGTCTATCGTTTGGGTAATGCTAAATATAAAAAAGAATTATTTAAAACCACAAAAAAAGTTAAAATTCATCAAAATCACTCACTTTTTACATATGAAAATGTTGGCGCCTTCTTTAGCTTCAGGGATTATAAATCCTTCTGTAGTCGTTTCAAGCGTGCCGTTTCGTAAATCGGTTGCTTTCGTTGGGCCCAGGTCTTCTTGATCAAATATCGATGGACCTGAATCGGCTGGCTTTTCAATTGAACTTGAATGTTTCGGACTCTTTGTAGTCGTCACAAGGGGAACAGGGGTTGATGTGATGTTTATATCTTCAGTAGTTGTTTTGCGTTTCGTTTTTACTGAAGGAAGGGTGGTATTCAATTTTTCTGGGTGATTAGCAACCGTTGTAGTTGCAGTAGGTGTGTCAGTTACTGGAGTGATTGGAAGAACCGGTTCAATGGGTTCTGTTGTTGTAGAAATCGGTCTCACGGTGACAGGTGTTTCCGTTGTCGTCAGAATCGGCGCTACAGTGATAGGTACTGACGCAGTCGTAGCGATAGGTTTTACGGTGACAGGTGCTTCGGTGATTAACGCTTCTGTTGTCAAAGGAATGGGCTTCACGGTCACACGTGCTTCCGTTGTCGTGCGAATCGGCGC